TATAGTTTTTCCCAATAACCTGCTCAATACTTCTTATTTTTAGGATTATTAAGTTATTCAAGAAAAATAATTGAATTCAATCAAAGAAAATAACTCTTTACTAGCTGTAGAATCTAAAAATAGTGAATAGATTATTTATACCTCTCTCAAAATAAAATAATAAGTATTCAATACATTTAGGAAGATTTAGCCTTTGTGATAGTTATGGAATAAGAAACCAATAGCTAGTTAAAGAGTAAACTATTAAGCTGATAATAATGTTCCTTTAGTAAGAATTCAGAAGGTAAAAAGTGTATTTTATTGCATTTTCCAATATTATTTAGTTCATGTTATTTTATCTAAACCACTACTTATAACTTAATAGCAAATCTTTTAGGTTAAAATTGCTTTAGTTTTGAAAAGGATATTGGTCATTTAAATCTATATAGTTTTCTTTAGATTTTGTTTCATTTTGGGCAATTAATTAGCAACACAGGCTATTTTGAAATTGAATGTTTATAAGAATGAATTCTTCAATTTGTTAGGAACTTCAAAACTCATAGCCATTGACAAAGGTTTGACATAATTCATTTTCCATTAAATTATATAATTTCACTTTATTAAGATTAATTTGGTCTATACATTTTGGATTTTCAATCAATCGCAGCTGTAGCAGAATCATTTAAACCAAATGACTATTGTATTTCTTGCTAAAAATACAAAATGCATGAGAAGTCCTCTACTTGATGAAAATACTTTTAGTTGTGTGTTTTAACAAGGTTAAATTTTATATATTTTATTATTAAATGAACAAATGATAAATAAATTGAATATTTAACTAATTTAAAATGATAATCATAATAGATTCTATGTTTCTTATCGAGAAATTAATTGAATTCAAATAAGATTACTATTTTTGTTATTAGCTTATTTTTAAATTTAATAAGGATCATATTTAAGTTATGGATTTAAGTTTGACTTTGATTAAAGTGAAATCTATACAATCTAGCATAATACTAGTTTGCCATTCTAGTAATTTCTTCTTGCTTTACCATAACAATATTTATTTAATAATATCCTCATTTTAGGAAATTATTAAATCTCTTTTGAGCAAGCCTAATTTTCTTATGATAATCTAAGAAATTCTATTTTATCTTTAAGTTATTAAACCCTTAGGAGGGATGACTTTGGAAATCAACTAAACTAACTCTACTATTAATAATTAAATATTTTTAGCATTCTATTTAAATAAGAGTTATTCCTTTTAATCTAATTATAAAATTGTTCTTTATTGTAAGTTTATAATAATTCAATCATTTGAATTATACCTACTTTCTAGGAGTTGAATTAAAAGTTAAAGAAATAAATTTAAATAAGAAATGTCTTAAATGGCACTTTAGCTCTAGTGAAATTTTGAATTGATGCATCTGTCAGTGTGGAATTAGTGCAATTTTAGGGAAAAAATTTTTTATTAATCATAAAGTAATCTGGATCGCAGAACTTAACTTTGTGTTATTATGGTTATTGAGAGGAGATAAAATTATAACTTTTGAAATAGTATTTTAAATTTTGTTTTGATTTAAGATATTCATTTCTTACTTTATGAGTCCTTATGTTGCAGATTGAAATCTCAACCCTTTGAACAACTGGAAAGCTTTGATGTGTTTATTGGTCTAGCTCTTAAATACTCCATATAAATATGATTTAGACTTTTTTTAATTTCTCAATTACCTTCCTCTTATTTCAGAAGGATGAAACTGCTTTTTCTTCAATTTACTTNCAAATCTTTTAGGTTAAAATTGCTTTAGTTTTGAAAAGGATATTGGTCATTTAAATCTATATAGTTTTCTTTAGATTTTGTTTCATTTTGGGCAATTAATTAGCAACACAGGCTATTTTGAAATTGAATGTTTATAAGAATGAATTCTTCAATTTGTTAGGAACTTCAAAACTCATAGCCATTGACAAAGGTTTGACATAATTCATTTTCCATTAAATTATATAATTTCACTTTATTAAGATTAATTTGGTCTATACATTTTGGATTTTCAATCAATCGCAGCTGTAGCAGAATCATTTAAACCAAATGACTATTGTATTTCTTGCTAAAAATACAAAATGCATGAGAAGTCCTCTACTTGATGAAAATACTTTTAGTTGTGTGTTTTAACAAGGTTAAATTTTATATATTTTATTATTAAATGAACAAATGATAAATAAATTGAATATTTAACTAATTTAAAATGATAATCATAATAGATTCTATGTTTCTTATCGAGAAATTAATTGAATTCAAATAAGATTACTATTTTTGTTATTAGCTTATTTTTAAATTTAATAAGGATCATATTTAAGTTATGGATTTAAGTTTGACTTTGATTAAAGTGAAATCTATACAATCTAGCATAATACTAGTTTGCCATTCTAGTAATTTCTTCTTGCTTTACCATAACAATATTTATTTAATAATATCCTCATTTTAGGAAATTATTAAATCTCTTTTGAGCAAGCCTAATTTTCTTATGATAATCTAAGAAATTCTATTTTATCTTTAAGTTATTAAACCCTTAGGAGGGATGACTTTGGAAATCAACTAAACTAACTCTACTATTAATAATTAAATATTTTTAGCATTCTATTTAAATAAGAGTTATTCCTTTTAATCTAATTATAAAATTGTTCTTTATTGTAAGTTTATAATAATTCAATCATTTGAATTATACCTACTTTCTAGGAGTTGAATTAAAAGTTAAAGAAATAAATTTAAATAAGAAATGTCTTAAATGGCACTTTAGCTCTAGTGAAATTTTGAATTGATGCATCTGTCAGTGTGGAATTAGTGCAATTTTAGGGAAAAAATTTTTTATTAATCATAAAGTAATCTGGATCGCAGAACTTAACTTTGTGTTATTATGGTTATTGAGAGGAGATAAAATTATAACTTTTGAAATAGTATTTTAAATTTTGTTTTGATTTAAGATATTCATTTCTTACTTTATGAGTCCTTATGTTGCAGATTGAAATCTCAACCCTTTGAACAACTGGAAAGCTTTGATGTGTTTATTGGTCTAGCTCTTAAATACTCCATATAAATATGATTTAGACTTTTTTTAATTTCTCAATTACCTTCCTCTTATTTCAGAAGGATGAAACTGCTTTTTCTTCAATTTACTTCGATTCGAATCTTATTGAAGTCTTACTCGAATGAGACCATTTCTTGATTTTTGATATTATAGTATTAATTTTTATAAATTAATTTGAGCATTATTAATTGCATCTTCATTCAAAATATCCTTAAAAATCCTTATAATTTTTTTTAAAATAAAAATAAAAGAATGATAAAAGTCTAAAAGAAACCAAATTTAAAACTAATAAACGAAAGTATTAATTAAAGTTATTTAAGAAACTGCTGTTTGATAACTTCAATATGAATACCAAGCAAAAAAATATTATTTACATTATATTTGATAATGTTAAATTTTCCTTACATTCAGTAGCCAACATTGCATAGGAATAAAATTGCAATTTAATAAGATGATGAATTAATTTATAATTCTTTGAAAAAAAAATACAAGATTCAAGTAGAAAATTGAAGTTAAGAAACATTTACTCTTTTGGAACTAATTCCAAGTTGGCTTTTTGATTAATCAGTGATTCTAAACTAATTATTCAAGTTTATCTATTTAAATGAAAAGTTCCTTCAATATTCTATTAGAATTTAGGGTATCCTCAGAAATTAATCATTCCAGTATAATTAGTATGATATATGATATATTAACACATGAATAATCAATTCATTTATATTAATTTGAACCCTAGTGATATTGTTACAATAATGATGGTTCTTTTTCAATTTTTAAGCAAAAAAAATTGTTTTATATCATAAGGTTCTACCTAATATTAGAAGGTTATAGAATTATTAGTTTTGATCTTTGCTAAAGAGATTAAAGATTTTATTTTTCCATACTTTGACCCAAGGTACTTAAATATACTTTCGAAACTTTCAATACATTAATTAATATTCAATAGTAAGTCCATTATTTTGGTTATCCCATCCTGGATTTCTGAAAGTTAAACAAAATTTATAAATTCTTCAAGAGTATATATTAAATAATTTTTTGGTCATTTTAAAGTTGGTATATCAGATGTTAAACTGTTGTGTTAATTTAAGATAATACTAGGATTTTTTTCAGATTTATAAATAAATAAAACAGAAAACTATTTAGAGAAATAAAATATATAATATTTATAATCCAAAATACTTCATTTGTTTAATAATTCATATGTTGAATATGCTTTTCTATTGTAATCCCAAAACACCAAATATTGCCTATTATTAGTGATATTTTCCATAAATACTGAATGTGTCACAACTTAATTAATCATTAATTGTCATACTACTATTAAATTCCTCTCCTTAACATATATAATTGAAAATTGATATTCATCAAAATTTGATTATTTGTCTTCTTGCCTAATTTTGTTAAACATCGAATCCATTAATGTAATATCTTATAAGGTATGAAAAATTTTAAATACTAATGAAATTTAATTAATGCTAAGATTATTTGAAAAAGCTGCTTATGAAAGAAAAAAATGAAGAATTTTTTTTTCAGAAATTCCCTTTGGATGGAGGAATTTTTGCACTTGCAATCTGAAACTATTGACTTTGCTATATGTTATATTTTACAAATCAATGTTTTTTCATACATGAAGAAAGTTAACCCTCACAAATTCGTATCCATTTTTCCCTTTCCCAAAAAGACTGGATCTGCCACAGAAACCAAATATTTCGAATGCCCAAGAGGCTATCCCAATTTCTGATTGTATTGTAGCAACCACACAAAGCAGCTTAAGACAGTGGAGAAAAGTACTTAAATAATATTGGTAATCATTTTTATTATAGAATAAACAATTAATATCTTAATTTCTTAAAGTTAGCTGCTTTTACTGATGTAAATGATATTGGACTTAGTAGTAAACCTTAATTTTTTTAACATAATTCATTCATATTATAATAATCATAATTCCCTAAACTTTCTTATTTAGATTTCTTTGGATTCAGTATCCCAAGTTATCAAATACTCTCCGTCATTGCTCAATTATCCATAAATATTATGAGTACCGAACTAAATAGATTATTAAATTATAAAGTCACCATTTTCTTTCTTCCTCAATAAATTAACATTCTTGCCATTCTTATTCACTAAGAGACATTTAGATTTTAAGTATTATTATGGAAATAAGACATCATCGTTATTTGAACCACAATTTACTACTATTTCCTTAGTCATTCTGTATTCTTGACGTTAAGTATCAAAATTATACACTTACATCTGTTCTTTACAATAAGGTTAAAATGTAAATTAATTATCATTAATAAAACATAATCTCTACCCAAATAAATTTATCTTTTATGAAACACTCCATTTTCTATCCTACTTACACTACTCAATTACCAATATTGAGTCTGATGAAGAAGAAATCAACTTATCTTATTTTTCATTTAAGCTCAATGAATTTACTGGATTAGTATTATCAGTTATAGTTTATTCACATATCCATTATTAATTTTTTATCCAAAATTTGATCGTTGTATCAAAACTACATGTAATAATTAGGTCATCAGTGCTATTCAACAATACACAGAAAATAGAAGCAGAATGTGCCTTTAATTTCTATTAACAATTCCATTAATTATATCCAACCATTTACCAAATTCTAATTGATGAATCAACACTTCCGGATAAAAATTTATTTGTCTTATTCATGAAGTTTAAAGTGAATACACTATTGATATGTTCGCTTAATAATTATATTTAATTTAATTTTCCGTATTGATGTTCAAATACTTTAATATCCTTATCACATCCTACTAACACTATTGAGTTATCTTTATTAAATGCAATAGCATAACATCTATCCTATTATTTAATTGAATTTTAGCCAATGAGTTCAAAGGTCGATTAGCTTACATTTCTTTCTATTCTACCTTGCCGCATAGGTGTTCTATTTGAGAAAGGAAAATCAAGTTGAGCTGGGTTTTAAAAACTACACTTTTCCTTGTAATTTCTATTATTCTTCATTTTCTTTACTATTTCATCTATAATAAATTTGATTTATTAGATAGCACATTTAAGTTGTTCAAATAACTAAACCTCACAACTTTCCAATGAACATAAACCTTTCATCATGAGATTAATCTAGGAAAGCCCTATTTCTGAGAACTATTGTGTATTACAGTTTAAATAAGGAATCAACATATCGAGAAGACTATCGAGGGATCCTTTACACTCTTAAACATTCATTTAAACATTTTTAACTTTCAAAATTTTTTGCTAAATCCATTCATTTAATAGTTCTAAAGACATTAGTTTTTTAAGATGTTAACCATGGCTAGGCAGACAGGAATTACAATAAGGACTTTAATCTGAGCAATTAGTATCTATACAACATCCAATTATCTATTGATTTCGATGATCGGCTTAGGTACATCTAATAGACATTTTCTATTTCTATTAAATTTATTATTTATAAATTAGTTTAATTCTAATCACATAAACTTTCAAAATTCTATTTTCATTTGAATAGGAAATAAATATTTTTGAAATGAAAATCTAAATTAAATGCTAAATGAAAAAGATAGAAGAGTTGTATAAAATGAATAATGTACAAAATGGCAAATAACGAAAGGATAAATGTTGGATACTTAATAGTCTTATTTCATAGGTGTAGAAAAAGCAATTAAAGTAAGTAATAGCAGTGAAGGAAATTATATTTAATAACAATAGTATTAATTTTTATATTGAAATAGGTAATTAAACATGAACTAGGATCCTGATATTACAAAATAAATATTAATATAGGAGGTTATGAGAATGTCGATATAAATAATAATAAAGGAATTAATTAATATTAATGATATAAGCTTTTATAAATAAAGGTAGATTTGATAAATCATGTAGCTGATATATTGAAATATCGAATTGCATTAATTCCTTTCCATATTTCCTTATAATTACCATAAACTCGGTTTTATTAATATTATGATATTTTTGTATTTAGATACAATAGAATTCTAGGAAGAATTGGTAAAAGATAAGCTTAAAGGCCATTATTTAATAATTATCATAAAAGTATATTTTAACTTAAATGAAATCGAAATTTTATTTATATCTCTCATTGAATTTTTTAAGAAAAAATAAATCTTTCATTTTCCAAAACATTATGATAAAAATTTATTAGAATCTTCTTGACATAAAAATTGTTGCAATATTCAATATCAATTTTATTATAGAAAAAATGTTTAATACATTTTTGCATGTAATATCAAACCTAAAATAATTATATTCTCCATATTCACTTTTTCTACGCATATATGTGTAAAAATAATTTGAATCACCTTTTTTCAAAATATAAGTATATATTCTAAGATAAACATATATATAGATTCATCAATAATCTGTATTTGACTGTCAAATTTATTCGTATTTATAAATTGTTTTAATTAGGCAAATTAAAGTTTTCTAAGTGTAAATTCAGAAAATATTAATTAAATATATCCTATTCCAAATTAATAGATAATCAAGGGCTAATTTAACCTTTAATTAGTTGTATAATTTGATCTCTTGCTTCTTGAACAAAGTAAAGTTAGCCATTTCTAATTTATTTAGATTTTATGAATGATCATTTTTTATTTTAGTGGACTATAATTACAATAATTTCTTCAACTGTTCTTGATTAGCATATTTACCATAACTATTTACATTATAAGCGTTTTTCATTTTCAGAGGATCTAATTGGCTGATTGTAATAATTTATAGGACATATATTACAAATGAAATTTTAATTTTACTCTATGCATGATAAACAACTTGGATCACTATACTAGAGACAACTAAGTTTTAAAATAGGCTTGAATCCATTCTAACTTCTCGAGGTAATTCAGCAATGTTATTGATATTTAATGTTGTAGGTTAAATATAATTATTTAAGAACTACATTAAAACCTTTAAATTTGCATAGATTACCTACAATTCTCAATATAGTTTAAGCAACTTCTAATTTCAGGAGCTATTTGAAAGCCATAATTTGCTGTCAATGTAAAAAGTATTAATCTTCTAAGCTAATTTAAGGTCTTATGTAATTCGAAAGATTTTTGTTTTTGTCATGCCATAAGCTCTAATTAATATCAAAAATGAATCTGTTCTCCCAAAGTGCAGAACCTCTCAATGAAATTTAACCAAATCTCTATGAATGGCAAATTCACATTTATTATTTTACTTAATAGCTTTTAAATATTATTTGAATTTTTGATGCGATTTGTCATGATGAGATTCAAAATAATGGCAGTGATATGAAAATTTATTTATAATTACTTCCTAATAATACAAATTATCATCTGAGGCTTTATATAAAATTCTCCTTTTTATTACTCTTATCAAATATTCAAGATAATCAAATAATAACAAATTAATTAATTTTTATACTCTCACCTTTATGATTGCGAAGATGAAAACAGAAATTGTCAAGATTTCCTATTGATCCTAATTAAGTCTTTCATCCTAATGGAGTATATCTATCCAAATTTGATATGAAAAATCCTTCTCAAAGTCTAATGAATCAACCTGAAATGGTCGAGTACACAGCTGATAGTCATGAGTCATCAAAATTACGAAATATGATTCTCTTGAGTAAAAAGAGGATGAACAGCAGCAATATTTTATGAACTTTATTCAGTTAAATTAGCTCATTCTACATAAATAAAATGTATTTTCTACGGATCAATCTATAATCAAAGAAGATTGAGATAATTGACATTTTGTTCAAGGTATTTTTTTCAAATATTATAATCCCATAGGGGAAATTAACATTGTTTAATTTCTCAAATAACTTTTTGATAGATTAACAGTTAATTTTTTGTTTTTTTCATTTACCTTTACATCTTCTTAAATTTATGAGTACGTATTATATATATTCTGTAAAATGATACTAGGTCTAAAATAAATAATTTATATATATTAGAAATCTTGTTAATCTAGTTTACCATATGTGAGTATTAGCTCATAATGATCTCGATGTTCTTTTTGATCCATTTCAGCTATTCTTTCATATAATTTGATCATAAAAATTTATGATTCTATAAATAAAAATCGAATTATTTCTATTAACTATAATAGAAAAGTTAATTCTCCAAATAGTATTACTAATTTGAGAACGTAATCTAAAGTTAATAGTATCATTTTAAAAAGTCCTTAACTTATAAGACGCAAGGAGTACTTATTGAAATCATAAATGACCTAAATATAATATAGATAGCTATATCATTCATTGAAATAGTTGAATAACAAATAATATTTGACTATAGTTTTTCAAGAAGATTAAAAGCAAATTTGAGTATTCTCTATCTTATTTCAAGTAATGCCTATCTAAATTCTTACAAAAAGATTTAATATATTTATCTTATGAACAATTTGATTAACAATCTTCATGTATCATCAAAGTTAAGAATGATCAAATAAAATTTGAAAATCAAATATAAAGTATGTAATTTAATAATGAACCACAAAAACCAGTTAAAAAATATTGGATACAATAGTGAATGCGAATAATAATCAACCTCATGGCCTAAAGCTATTGAACTTTAAAACAATAGGGTTTACTCACTTGAATGTACTGCTCTTGAAATTTTATTCGTTTGGATATAAGTATCTGATGTTCTTCAAATCACAATAATTGATATCTGATAATTATTAGAAAAGATAATAAATATAATAGATTGGATCACATTATATTTAAATCAGAATCATATTTGGAAAACAATCTCGAATTTTTCTCAACCATTATTATATTTATATTTTAATATTGGGCTTGTATAATCTTTGGATGATAATAATAAAATTGGGAGATAGAACTATAGTTTTTGATAATATTAGTTAGTAATATGCTTTATTAAATTAAATTATTAATTAGTTGAAACAAATGAAAATTTGTAAAATAATTATATAGAATAAGATACGGTAAACAAAGAAGCAAATATTATCTAATTCTTAAGAATTCCAACAAAATTTCAGCTGATATTAAGGTAAGTTTAATAATACATATTTAATATATACTTATTCGAAGTGAGATGTTGAATAAAATATTAGCAGTGACTTATTATTAATAAGTAGTTCAATAATACTTACTTTAATATTTTTTTTACATAATCCTAAAAACCTAAAAGGAACATTAAATCCGCAAAGGATTAGCTTTCAATTATAGTAGAGTACCTTAATAGAGCTGTAAAGAAATCAAAATTTGTTTAGGACAGATAAAAATCACGGAATACCCAAAGAAAATACCAACTTGAGGAAATTAATGAATTTTATGATAATAACGAAAGAGATACATATAAAGAGACATGCCTGATTATATGCAAATATTGTAAATAAAGGATATAGGAAGAGTTTTAATTAATGTTTCGATTAATTTTTTGATTTTTGAATGATAAATATTTCTTTTTTACCTAATATATTAATTATGATTATGCTTATATAACTTCATTAATAGTCTTAACTACAGCCAATCCAATTTTATCGCTATTATCCAATGTGATCATAGTAAATAGTGGATGAAAAATCTTTCACCAAATGTGTATTGTTTTCTGTTTTGACATTTTAATTTTTCACTATTTCAAATTTTAGATATGACATCGATTCATTTATGTCTTTGTTAATAGAAATTCAACAAGAAAAGAATTTGATAAAGATTTTTGTCCTAAAAGCTATTCCAAATTCAAGTGCTATACCTTAAACTTTTTCAGCCAAATAACTTCTATAGTTTTTCTCTAAATGTTGTTAGAAATCAATTATTAACTTTTTTTTGATTTTCAACAATTAAAAGTCAGTATATGATAATCCTAAGAAGAAGGGTAATCAATAGAACTTGAGCTCACTTAGCAGTAGCAAGTAGAAAAGGATAAATTGCTAGTGTTATTAAACTTGGAATTGCTATTAAGATATTAGAAACCTTCAGCCCTTACATTCCTCTTTAAGAGTCCCTCTCTACTTTAACTCTTTTGGAAATGATAAATAATAAGGGTACCTGGTGGATAATTATTGAGTCCGATTCATTCTCTGAGAGGTTCTGATGTTTGAAATGAAAAGTTTCGAAGATATCTCATTTTCTTTGTAGAACAACAAAGATTTGTCAGTTATATGAAGGGTAGACATAACCATTAATGTATAAAAATTAATGGATATTTGGTGGCCTCTGGAGATCAACTTATTTTATTCACTGAAATGATGTCATAAATAGATGGATAGTTAATTATATTCTTGGTTCATTGGTTGATCTAGATGTATTATTTATATCATATTGGAATATCAATTTACATCAAATTAGCTTATCAATCTAAAGTATTATAGTTGAAAAGTTACTCAAATACTGGTATTTTTACATAAAGGTGATTCATTATATACAAATTGACTTTTTAAGATTAAGGTTATATCTATCAATTCACATA